AAAAAAGAAAATGAGACAAATAAAAAGGAAGCTGCATACAACACTAACTAAAAACAACCTCTACTGCTGATTCCTGTATGCATGATCTGTGTTCTATTTAACTGTACATATTTTCCTCAAACTGAAAACGTGGCAAACATTTTTAGAAACCCTACAGGTTTAAAGAGCACCTATCTTAATGAATGCTTTTCCTAAAGTGTAAGCAAAATACAGTGCACTACAGTTTCTTTCCTTATAGCTTGTTTCCATCTCCTACGGATCTTTAAGACGTAATACTGATTTCTAAACCAAGATTTTAAGGTTTTCTACAATATCAGAACATTTATTATACAAATAAACAAAGCAAATTAGCTTTACTTAACTCTTTCTTGGTGTATGAAAGGTACTTTTTTTTTTTAAATTAAATTTTTCTGAATCAGCATCTCAATGTTTCACTTGATTTAGTATACAGGATTCAAACCAGTAAATTCTTATACACATTTACATATACATGCTTGCATGCACGCACTTGAAAACATCACAGGAAACAAAAGGTGGCCTAGCAGAGATCCCCTACAGGTTTACATGTGTTTTATCACAGTGCAACATTATTCCTGTATCAGTAAGTATCTGCCATGCAAGTTATGCCTTATGAATAAACAGCATTTCTGCAACGTCAAGTTACTCATTAGCTTCTGTGATCAAAACGATCTATAAAATTAGAGAAGATGAGAACAAAACCTAAATAAGTAATAGCAGTCAGCTGCCACTAGCTTTAGTAAACCAGTTGCTTCTGTAGTCTGAAATGTGAACTGAAAAAGGGTGCACACAATGCTTATTTACAAATGTAAGGTTAATGACAACTAAGCATGTTTTTATAACCCTAACTTCTAATGCTGTTTTCATAGGAATCTGGATACTACATATATACCTATATTCAAATTCAACAGATAACTTGAGAACAGTGATTAAAAGAAAAGTCTAATGGTACAAGCATTGTTCAACTTTAAACATGTAGTATTCTTCATACAGTTTCAATCACATTCTATTCAACATGTGTTTCACTTGCAACTTTAAGAAGTTTTTTCTTAATGTTAACCTGATTTCATTCTCAAGCACTCATTTGAATACTGCAAATAAACAAGGAAGTCGAGCTGCTACAGTTCATTTCTAATTATAACCTTTCTTATTGTTTATGAAACAATTTCCCCTGCCACCCCCCTAAACATTACAGAAGGGGAAAGGTTGATTAAATGTCATGTTGCATCACTCAAAGCCAGCAAAAGCAACTACACACTTTTTATTTTCCTGCTAAGTGTTGTTTCCTCTCCTTTGTCCAGGAATAGCTACCAGGTCATATGTTTGATAAGATTTTAAACAGAAAAAGAGATAGTGCTTTTAATTTCAGTCTCCACTTTACTTCAAAGGATGGTGCTGAGAAAATTTCTTTCAAGTACTGCTTCCAAATATGGAAAACACTTATGCACTGACATTATCAGGTCTCTGTCATCTGATATGTGTTGGGACAATGAATCACACAGAACCCTCCATTGACCTTCTTTCAATGTGTCTAGATAAAAGGATGAAAATTAGAATCCATCTCCTTGCAGCGCCACGAGTTATAAATGTACTTTATAGGGCTCATTATCCAAACTAATGGACTAAGGGCGACATCCTTGAAATGGACTTACCAGCACTGACAAAGCCAGTATGCAATATTTCAAGAAAGATATGTAAATTACTATGCGTTTGCTATATCTTTTTATTACGGATGTATAAATTTCCATTTATCACATCCTTTCCATTTTTGAGACAGAATTATGTAACTTCAAACATATGTAAAGTGTGATCAACATAAAATGCCTACCATTATTATTAATGCAATCCATGTAATTTAAAATACTTTAAATTTTATCATATGTACTCAAAAAGTGACTTACCATAAACATGGAGAAAATAAATAACAAAAAGAAAAATAATTATCATGTGTACATTCAATGTGCTTTTTCCTCAACCTAAGGAATATGATGTGTTTTTTATTTTCCAACAGAGCATCAGAGTTCTATCAAGAACGCAGGATGCTCTGCATACGTATTAAAACAGCAGACCTAAACTGACACAATATATAAACCCCAGAAATTTTCAAGTGGACTACCGAAGCCTTGAAATAAGTATGTCTAAAAATTTCTATACTTTCACACTGTCATCTTATTTTCATAAATTATAAAAAGGGCTATAGTAACATGATAAAAATAATTGTATAGTTGAGGATGAAATCTACTGTTCTCTGTATATACAGTTTTGGGTAGTCAAAAGGCGAAAAGGCAATTCAACTAGATATTGAATGCGTTCTTATTTTTCTTGTGCTGGAGAGAATGTTAGCCATGTCTAGAAAGGAGTTGGAATAAACTTCCGTGATACTTAGGGACTTCAAATTCAACTCTAAACTATCAACAAAAAGTTTGAGAAGAAAATCAAGGCCGTAGCTATAAGTATAAATTTTCCTTACATGTGCCAAAGCAAGAATATTAAAAACAGTGAAAAAATAATGGCACTAAGATCTTGATGACATTTGGAAGCCTATGGAAAATGCTTATAAAATAAGCATGAATACTGTACAATTTGACTAAATTTCTACTGCTGCGAGTTTAACCTCTTTGTAACTAAGGTAAGCTGCCTCTGAAACTACAGAGGCAGCTGTAGTGACAACGAGATATGAGTTTGTCTATTACCAATTACTATTAATGGCCTGTTGACTCAAAAGCTCAGTAACTCATAAATACCCTCATTAGCAATTTGATAGCTGATTTTTATTAGGCAAAACACTGAAGTCCAAAGTCAAGAGGAAATTAGAGCTGGTGCCGGAAAGGAATACACAGTAAGGAAAGGGGTAGCATGAAGAAAGAAAAAGAAGAGAAAGGAAATAAGTGATGATCTTAGCAACAAACTGGATAGCTTGCCAAGTAACACTCTAAGGAAAAGACTTAGCAGTAAAAGCAGTATTGTATTCAGGTGAGAGAAAAGAAAATTAAGAGAAAATAATATAACTGAATATAAACATATACCTGGGTCAAAGAAACTCAGCTTTATGACTGACATTTTTGCTATGGTGAAAAGGATGTCTGAAACTTTTTTAAATTATTGGGGGGGGGGGGGGGGGGGAAGAGAACATTATATGATCATTTTCATTGCTGAAAATACTTTTTAAAAAAACATATTTTGACCTAGGCTGCGTTATTTTCATCATCTCAAAGAAGTCTGACACTTCCCTTCTCATCTATACATTTTTTTCTTTGTTTGCTTTTATTTTGATGTAGAAATGCTACTTGGTAAAATACCTGCTTTGAAACTATGGGAGACCCAAAAAGACACAATAGAAGCAAGCAGGCGGCTCCAAGGAAGAGGCAGGTGACTAGACTTGGGAAGCTGGATGCATTGTTCTGCTTCATATTCAACATCAGATAATGGCATTATTAAAATACCAATGTTTTTGGAATATGAAAGTCTGGTAAGGTCTGATAAAAATATTTCAGTAATTCTGCACCTCAAAAATCTATCCTTCAATTTTAAATGAAAATAGCGTAAGTGAACCACTAAAGCAGCCTAATAGTCTAAAAAAGACACTTGAAACCTATTTCAAACCCTGAGGAACTTATTAGATCCAAAACATAAAAACAGGTTAAAGGAAAAGCAGCACTTCACCTTTTTTAAAATACATATAACCTTAACAAAGAAAACATTAATTTTAAAGATCTTCAGAATGTGCAAAAGAAGCTGCAAACTGGGACAACCAGCACGACTGACCAGTTAAGATCTCCATAGAGCGGTGTTTGGAAGTTGCTAACAACTAGGAGTTTTGTCCCTCTGAAAGAGCAAGTTAACTATTTAAACGTTATTGGAAAATAAAGCTCCCTATAATAAAAGTTCAAATATTACTGTTTAAAAAAAACCTACAGAGTTTATGAAAAGGGCATAATTTCATTTGGATATGAATCATGCACTTAAGACAACCACCACATGACGAAATACTATCACATTTGCATCTCAAAGTCTAAAACTATGCAATGAACTTCAGAACCTTAAGGAACTGGCAGAAAGATAAAATCTGTTGTTTGTAGAACTTCAGGTAAAACAGATGCTTCTTGACCATGTCATGACAAATCTAGCTACAAATACCGTGCTCAAAGAATCAAATGCGCACTGCAACTTGACAGTAAACACATTACACCGATCATTTAACTACTAGTTTTCCTAATAAAATGTTACTACATATTTTCCAGCTTAATTTTCAAAATTTTCTACAGAACGTCTTGAACTTTTCAGTTACAGAAACTAAGCTGAAAACAGACTCTTAAAAGGCTGCAATTAGACTAATAACTGATAGAATGTATATAACAGAAACCATGACAATTTACAGAGGTGTGAAAAATGCCACTACGGAAAAAACTATGGGTTGATTTTTCTTAGCTCAACTTTAAACCCGCCTACAGGCCTGATATTGTTGTAAAAGAATTTATCCTAGGATAAGAGGGCAGCATAGTTTATGACAACAATCCAACTAAAAACTCATTAAAGTCTTTTCTCTTGGAGTGACATGCATTATCAGCAAAGATTAATCTGATGAGTCTTTAGGTGAGCTCCATTTTTAAAAATGCAATAACAGAGGGCTTTGTTGTCATCTGATGAAAATCAATTAGAGTAGGTAAGGCCACAAGGAAAACTAACATCACTCATCACCAGCCCCCCGGCAGCTGAAATGATTTGTCTTCCAAGCTTGGGTGATCAGGAGCTGCAGTAATATCACAGGGAAATTAATTTAGTTTCTATATTCTAGACCCACTTTCCTTGTTCTGGAGGACCTATACACAAATTACTTTTAATCAAGGTTGATGTGTTATTAATACCAAGGAGGATCTTTGAAGAATCATTTTTTTTTAAATTGACTTAACACATTTTTCACCTGTATTTTGTATATAAACAGAAGGTTACTTATATTACCCTTACCGTCCAGATTCTTTGTCCACTACAAGGCACTGCACAGAATGGCGAAGACAATAGATACCACCAAAAACAGCACACATCCTAGAAACATATTAGGAAAAAATAAAGGTTACTCCTATCATGACTAATTGTAATCAATGTGAGTGCGTACCATAAGCAAGGCTAAGTACTGTGCATATTGTAGTACATTTTTAATGACACGTCTTAATCTCTGAATCAGACAATCAAAAAACAACCAAAATAAAGCATGTCATAGTTTTTGTAAAGGATATGTTAACTTTTTTTTGTATTAGCATTTATCTTAGTCCTCTAAATTGTTACCTTAGCTTGAGCACTCACTCTCTGTTATCATCTTCAGTCATTCAGGATGGAAAAGCACCTATTTACTGAAGATGCATAGAATATCTACTGATATTCTGACCACGCTACATTGCACATAGTGTAGAATAAAAATGTAAGAACACACAATAATCATACCAACCTCCTACTAGAATTCTAAGTGTGATTCAGAAGTTATTTCTCCACTCTTACAAAAGGTACTGTGGGAACTTCATTGACTACAAGCAGCTTTGAGAGCACTGAGAAGTGCCCCAATAGAATGAAGACTTCTTACAATCTAAAGATCACCTCTTACAAATAGTGATTCCTCCGGGTTCTGCCTATGTTATGATATAGTCGCTTAAGATATTCCATGCATGGACTGATGACAGAAAGATTTCCCAAATGAAAAAACGGGACCAGCTTCACAGGTCAGTTTTTCAAAAGCTACATTATACTAAGCTATTTAGCAGTCTTCCACTTGCAAACAAAACCCAATACCTAAACCAAAGCAAATTACGCTGCCCAAACATTAAGCCAATATCGCAACTCATCCATTTTTAAACTCTAAGGAGACTCAGAATTTAAAAGAAACTAGATTATGACATTTAAATATGAGGGACTCCACGTGAAGTCAGCCCACTGCAAAATTTCATCACTAGCCAGGCTGTTTTATCACCTCCTTGAAGGTATCTCTGACTAAAACTTCACCAGATGAATCTGTCCTATGCACAAAGTCTGAGACTGCTCTCCCGTAAAGCTGCACAGTGAAAGTTCAGTTGGTCTGGTGATAAACATGATCCCATGTTAACCCCCGCACATCCTAACTTTCTGTATCTGCCAAAAGCCAGGCTTAATCTCTGGGGATTACTTTTCTGTTGATTTGATGCAACACAAGGTAAATTAATTCACAGAAAATGAAAGCTTAGTTTCTGCAAGTGATGCCTAAAATTTTTACTGGACCCACATTAACGTTGAAATGACTGTGATATCACTAGTCTTAACTTTTTTTTAATTCTAGCTCCTGAAAGATTTTAATATAAGCCCACATTCTTCAAAATGCTGTCAAGCAAGTACAAACAACCAATATTCTTTTTGCTATGTATTTTAAAAAAATTCCTTACACTTTCTGTGAGAGCACTATAATGCAGAGAAATTAATGATCTTACAGAAACAGGATATAGGTTAGAGATTCTCAAGGACAAAGGTTGATGATTAATTGTGAATTAAGATAAACTTCAGTCAGTTTTTTGTTTACAGTGCATTATTTCAGGGGCATTCTTACTATAACAATACAAAATGCAGAAGATGAAGTTCTCTAGAACTTGGTGTGACAAAAGGTAAACCAGTAAGAACATTTTTCAAATTATGTTAAAAAAGAATTAATCTTTCTCTTTAAAATTTCCAGTCAGCATGGAAATTACTCAGTGGAGAAAGGTAAAGAAAAAAGATGGGGGAGGTGTGTCTGATCCCTTACAATACAATTTCAGGTTTGGACTGTTTGCAATGTCTGATGTATCTTGGGAATCTTTAATGTATTTATTTATTTACTTATTTAAGAATCTCCAGTGGTTCATTCAGATCAATCAGCTATCACTGACCTCTTCTCACGTACGCTGAAGAGAAAGAACGGACAAATAATTTGCATATTGACATAAACTGCATATCCTTTTCTCAGAGAAAACCACTCTATCAGAGACAACTGTCAAATGCTATCAAGTGACATTTGACAATTCTTCCTTTTTCCTACAAGTTAAATACACCTGTGTTCTTCTTGTGATCCCCATTTTTCAAAAGTAAATAGCCTCTATGAATAAACCATAAAACAGCCTGTAGCACATTCAATACAGTGACACACTGTTCCATTTTAGCATGCCAGAGAAGCATACTGTGAGTTTTCCGAGTTCCTGTTATTCAGCTGAAGTTTAGTATGACCCAGCCATTTGATGTTCAGCTCACAGATGGAAGGACAGAGCTGAAACTGGGAGGGCACAAAAATTAGAAATTACACCTGCCAGTTCATTAACAGAGTCTGCCTAGGTATTGTATTTAAAGTAAGAATGTAATTCTATTTATCTTTTGGTAGAGTTTACACTGTAATTTAACAGATCAGCGTGACTACATTTCTAATACCTGCCTAGCATTAGCTAGGCATCAGACCAGCCAAAGCAAACAACCAATATGAGAAAGGCAGGCTGGTTTGGTGGAACATAGTTCTCCCAGATTTCTGGAATGATAGCAGGATTTTCCTGGTTTACAAACAGGTTTGGGGTTGGTTTGTTTGTTTGGTTTGCTTTTTGGGTTTTTTTGTTTGGTTTTTTTAAGGTAAAGAGCTTTAGGTACCTGTTCATAGATGATGAACTGGAAAAGAAAACTCCCATTTTGCAAACCTGACTTCCTAAAATGGAATCCATATTGGCATTCAAAAGTCATATTAGACAGTTCAAAGACAGTACCGCAATACCTTTTAAACTGCATGAATGACACAGCACGGCAAATGGCTGAAGTGTGTTACCAACTCACATCTCTTCTGAGTTGTACTCCAAAAGGTAGCAGACAAAGGAAGTGCGTCCTGGTTTCAGCAATATCACTTACTACTGGCTGAATCAGAAGATCCAATCCCCTAGAAATACCTCTTCTACCCATGCAAAAGCAGGGAGAACATACACCATGTTGAATCCCAACCTTGGTTGTCTGGAGATCGTTGAAGATGACACAAAGGTTAAACATCCACTGAAGAATTATTGCAGAGCCTTGAGCTACGGGCTTATTATATCTAATGCTGTAATCAATGGCTTCTTGCCTGACAAAGCATGTATTAGGATCTTTCAAACCAACTCAGATGAATTTATTTCATATGTTGAATAAAAGAATAGCACTATTAACCTAACTAGAACTAAGATTCCTTTGTTAAAACTATAAATTATATTTTTCCTTTGACTTCAACCACAGTCAAGGGCTTTTTGATATATGCACTTTATTTTTCTAGCGTGCTTTGAAAGAACTTTGCTGCTTGGCTGCGCAAAAATGTGAATTACTTATTTTCAGGAGTAGCCTGCTATCCAGTGGAGGAGGGCATGACCTTTCATAGTAGGCCAGCAGAAAACTTCTCTTTTTAAATGAAAATGGTAAGGAATTTAGATTGTGTTGTGTTAAACAATTACAAAGAGCCAAAATACCTATTAAAACAGCCTAGCATGAAAAATGACATGATTAGGAAGAACTTGCCAAAATTATTTAAATATAGAAATTGAAATATTAAACTAAATGGCATCCCAATAATTTATGACAAAGTAAAATCATTGCGCTAACATTACTTTCATACAATAGGCTATTCAAGATGATTTGACTGTACTTCAAGTACAAGGCAACTCTTTGATACCATTAACCCTAAATGACAGACATTTAAACTGATATCACTCTAATTAACTGGCGACTGCCTACACCAATAATTCAAGTTTTGCTGAAAGATAGCAACAACACTGTACTCAACTTCAACTTTGCCCTGGTGACATCAAATCATATTACAGCTAAATTAACAGTTGTGAAAATTTTTGGCCTGGTAGCCCTGCATCATACACAGCCTTTAAATGCCATTTCAGTTCCCATCAAGGCAGGAATCAGCAGTTGTAATTTTTAATACAGCTGTGAAACAATAGGACATATTAAAAGCTGAATTTTTGACAGCATATTCACAATGATTTATGAGTTTGTATATAATTTGATTATTCTATTAATTTTACTGATTACTGATTCAGCTAATACAGTGAAGGTCACTTACAAAATAAATCTTCATTACATTTCACAGAAAGTAACTGCCTCCAACTAGTTGTTTTCTTTAATTAAACACTAATGTAACAAGAGAGAGAATAGGCTTCAGGGTTGCTGCATCTGTTGCTACAAGAGGAGTTTACTGCTTTGATGTAATGCTCTCCGATATTAATTGAACAAAAATAGAATGTCTCTCCATCTGACATCTTGATTTTCAACACACAGATACCGTAAACACCCTTAAATTACAGACTTACCCATAGTTCATTCTGAAACATAAAAGAATTGGAAAACCATATCACATAGTTTCACACCAAAAAAAGTAGTTTTTGTTTCCAGCATATAGTTGGTCTTCTACTTTCTAAAATGCATGGAGCGATTAATTAAAAAATTGAGTATTTTTCTCCCCAACTGTACAGTCTTCTACAGCAAAAACTATTTGCTTCCTTCCTTAAAGATGAATACTGCATCTACAGCACAGCAAGCTTTGAAGAAAGATCAAAGAAAAACACGCCAAGTGCTGAATTAATGAATTGTCCTCTTCCAATTTATTTTTACACACAGAGCAAGCTGTGACCTGGTTCTTATGTCAAATTCTGTGTTTCCCGAAAGGTCCCTAGAACGTCAGCATTTCTACAATACTGTTGTATGTTCTAAAAACATTAAAAAGTAGAACACAGACAAATCAAATCAATAAAATGGCTACAGTTAAAAAAAAAAAAAAAGATAGTTCATTTTCCCAAAACAGAGTTCCCATATAAAAGTCAAATCTCAGTATGTGCACCCACCCAGATGAAGGGGGGGAAAAAAAAAAAGTAGTACCAAAGAAATAATGAAGAAAATAATCAATGTGAACCAGAACTGTCCTGGCATTTGAAGAGCTATTGGAAAGGACAATATGTGACAATAAATGCTTAAGGAAGTAAATGAAGAGTCAAATAGTTTGACTTTTTCCTGGAGACTATGTACAGCATTTCTGTAAAATTTAAAAA